AAAAAACTATAATAACCAGTTGGTTTTTAGTCAACTGTTTTTACTCTCAGCAAAATGGCCAAATTTATGTAAGTTAGCTATTGTGAAACTGGTATCTGGCCACATAAACAGAGTTCTTAGAAAACCTACATAACTACAAGTACAGAGTAAATAATATGGCTTTTTCAGGGTGTATGTTGAGTAATCAATAAGCGAAAAAGAGAAATATTCACTTTTATTATTTATCTATTGGGAGCTCTAAATTTTAAGGGACTTTTGTTGTAATTTTGCACCTTTAGCTGCGCTGCATATCTCAAAATGAGGGACAACACTGTTTTCAATGTGTGAATGGCTCAGTGGCAAAGCCAAGATGCAACACTACATACTAATGAATGAATACACATTTTATGAATACTAGTTTACTTTTTGTTCCTTTAACTTAATTTGGTGCTTAAATATTGGAACATGAAATACATTGCAAAACATGGAAGGCTCTTTTACATATAAATGCAATATGTGATCTACGGTATTTTCAAAGTGAACATGGTTTTTCAGGGCCACATAACATTGCCCAAAGTGCTATTAGTCAGTTCATACAAGATAACATAAGATTGAAAGATATCTAAATCCACCATTCTGTATAGGATATTTTGTCTACATTATGGCAAAAATATCAAGAGGTATTTCACAAAAGAAACATGAAGCTGCCATAAAATGAAAAGGCTTTTTAATGTTAACTGCCTACTTGTACTGACAAACTGATGAAAAAAATAGGGCATATTCTATATGTGCAATAAACCTGCAGGCTGCCAAGAAAAAAAAGGTTTTATTTTTATTTTTAGCACCTACCCAGAGACTGATAAGAAAGGTGCAAATAAAAACTTACATTTACCATACAGCCACCTAAATTATGGCAAAGGGGCCACATGTAAAATGAGGATGTAAAATTCAGTTTCACTAGACCATTACATAGAGCTGCACTTATGGCAAATAAGTGAAACAGCATACTTTAACTTCCACTTTCTTTTAATAGTGTTTTGATCATTTAAACATTGAAAATTGCATGCATAAGGAAAAGCTTCAAGTTGATCACATACCTAAAAGCTGCTAGAAGTGGGGAGAAGGCCGAGTCTCCATCATATATGTACAGGTGATCCCAGGAACATTCTGTGGCATAGTGTTTCAGGCGAAAGTGAATGGGAACGTTGTCCTGACCACTGTCTATCAGCCAGGAACACTTACTATCTGTACTGTAATTTCCAGCACCATCATGAATATAGCCACTGGGGTCTGTTAACCTGGAAGAAAATATGGAAAATGAGAAGTTAAATTAATTTAAGTTGAAGATCTTTACCTTTGTTTTGTGTTTAAGTTTTATGTTCATTGTTTCAACTGCCAGCAAAACCAATAAATATTGATGTAGTTCTTTTAAACCATTTTACATAAATAACATTAAATAAATGATATTTACTGTTTTTTTAAATATCATTAGTATCACTGTGCTGTTATGAAGTTCCAGAAACAGTGGAGCATAGATAAAAATGATTTTATGAACAAGTTAATGTCCACTTCATAAATGAGTGGTGGTTCTATTAACCTATATATAGCTAGTCAAGTTCTTATCTGCACTTAATCATTGTTCTCTAAGGTGTCGAATTAAACTGTACTGGAAGAATAATTCTTAACACACACACACACACAGGGTTGAAAATTGGAAATCGCATCACTTTTGTAAAAAATACTGAGATGTCTAAATACACAAACTAGACAAATAAATTCAAAGAAACCAATTAAATAGCATCTAGGCAAGATTGATAGCAAGGGAGTTTAAAAAATGCTTTAAAAATCTGAAATATTTACCTTAACAAGAGGTATGGTTAGTCTAAAATAACTAAATGTTTTCCACTATACTAGTACCTATTCTCTTAGTTTTCTGGCCAAATACCAATGCACAATTCTGTGTCAGCAAATTCTCAATAATCAAGCTCAAGGTATGCTGTACACACTTTAAACATTCTCACGTCATATTTTCTATGTTTGCAAAGCAACTAATTTTCCCAATTCAGACTTTGAAAATTTTAATCAACAGTTTCTGCTGAAATGTACAGGAAGATAACTTATATATGAAGTAAAGACCGATTTTCTGTAATGCATATTGAACCACTTGTACTCAATTCTCACACTACTCAAATAAAGTTGAAAGCCATATAATAAACCAAATAAATCAGTGAGTCAGCCAAAAAATAAATAAATAAATAAATAAAAAATAGCTTGAAAACTGCACTTTTTTCAAATTTCTGGCCATAAACTTGACCTATTTATCTGTACCCCAAGTTTAAAAGTCTGCAAAAATTTAAAGTATGGTGCATTACTGTTGCACATGTACATGCCACTGTTTCTTCCCCATGTATTTCTGTTTGCAGCACAGTGGCAATGCAAGAATAATTAGTATAATGGAGTAACAATCCCGGCTAAAAACAATGCATAGACATAACAGATGACCCATGACCTCCCAGGATGAAAAACAAGTTATTGTATGATGAGACAGAGGATGGGGGGCTGATAATTTTAACAAGCTCTACATGTCTAGCTGTAAAATAGTAAAACTGATCAATTATGTTTAGATTAGATTTAAATGATTCCATTGCTCTTCGACCTTAAAATAATGTCCAGCACGCACTGTAATATTCTGCAGAATGGTACATGCACTAGACAACAAATATGACACTGTTTAGTTTACACAACAGGGAATTACTTTTAAAATGGTCTTGCTTCTGACAGATACCTTTTACTTTGATAACACAACAGTAAAAAAAGTCTGCATGAATTAAAAGGTATGTTTCCTGGCTTCTGCTGATGTATGTATCGATCTCTTGTCTCTGTACAAAAACGTGGACCATAAATAAACAGCAGGTAAGGTGGTTTGTGTTGAGTCACCAGGAACCACCCAAACAGGTTGTTATTGTTACACTTACATTTGAGAAAAGTTCCAGTTCATATGTCATTTTTTTAACACGATGCATCTCATGAAGTCAATTATCAACTTTGAATGAGGAAAGATTTTACATATGAAACAAAATTAAAGGAGAACATCTCCACCTTACCTGACGCGACCACCGCACGACTGACAAGAAGTACCTGTCCAACCTGGAAAACATACACACTTCCCGTTTTTGCAGTTCCCATTTTCACACGAAACATCACAGTTCTCTTTAGAGTCTGCAGGTATTAAATAGCTTGTAATTAATATCATGTACAGCACGATAGTCCCATATGATGTAAATTTCCGTCTATATTTGAACAAAACTTGAAACTTAAATATTGTCACATCCTCCATTTTTACTTTATCGCATATATTCGGGCATTTCCGTAACCGAAAATAGGCGATCGAGCAAGATAGGAGGCATCCTCTCTTTTTTTCTTCAGCTCATGATATTTCAATCTTTAAAATGATTCATCTTATAAACAACTTTAATTATTTGTTTTTTATATAAAATATTCGAATGAAATCTTCAACAAAACATATAACTTTATAATCTTAGATGTCTCTTCATGTAACAGCGCCATCTTTTACAATGCTACACAACAAGCATGGGTTCGGTAAGTTGTGTATAATGTGTCCATGTACATTACGGCTGACAATATAGCAATGTATGAGGCAATTACATTTGGCCTTGTTTGTACCGAAAAAATACTTTCATTGGGAGCATATAAGTAGTTATTTAATCCACCCGCCTCATATACTTGATTTCCTTCGTTTTTTTTTTCTATATTTAATTAGCAAATACTTGGTAGTGCAGTGCAGGTACTAGTACTTTTCAGTACATGTACTTGTAACTGTAAGTTGTTACTTGGATCAGAGCCTCTGCTGTTCAGATACAGTAACCTAAGAGATTTATTTGACATTTATCTACTGGCTTTTGAATGTTTTTACAAGGAAAATGTGGCCCATTCAAATATATTGAGAGCTGAGAAAATAGTATTAGGGGTGAAGATTTTTAAAGTTAATTGCCACACAATGGACAGCAGAAACTTTTATCAAAATTACCAGACATCTGAATTTAGAAAAACACAGAAAATCAAATTACACTTGTTTAAGGGAAATATGCTGCATAAGTACCTTTATACTGTAGGTGGCCAGTTTCCTGTCTTTGTACTGTACACTGTAAGTATGAAGTACATACATTTCACACGTACATTACAGTGAAGGACTCCTAATTTACAATTTCTGCTGTGTATAAGATGTGTATATTATATATGTTCATGGCTGTCCCGACACCCCGAGTGGAATCCACAGGGTGTCACTTTCCAAAAAATTGGTAAGCCGCTTGTCCGTCTTTGTAAATATTTGCCGTCTGGTGATGCCAGCGGCCGTCCAAATGACAGTTGGACAGTTTGCTGGGAAAAGCCTCAAGGGTCATATGATAGTGACATAAGGAAATAGAATTCAGTCTATTTCTGAAAATTATTGTATCTGTTACAAACTGGGGAATTTGAAAAGTCATTCACACATGATTAAGAGATGGTTTTTAAAATTCTGCCATCCTTCCAAGTTCAATTCTCACACAGATTTCTGGATTACATAAAACTATTAAGATATTAGATAGAAGGCAAGATTTTTCAGGAAGTAATAAATTTGAAGAATTTTTTAATTCATAGCATGTATCTATTTAAATATGATCAAAAAGTATTATTTGTCCTTGCATGAATCCATCCAGAAGTGGTTTATGTGTGCTTAAAATCCTATGCTTTTTTATTTTATCTAAAGTGAGTTCATTGGGCTCCCTTCTATATAGCAGCATATAAGATATACCTTTAAAAGTATGATACATGTAGCAAATAATTTTCGATTGAACATGCAATTTTTAAAATTTATTTTCAGAAAACAAAAAGAGGAAAAGCGAAGAAAGCAGGGGCAAAAGTCAGTCATTACAAACTCTCCAACAAAAGACTTACAAAGTTAGCCAAACAAGGTAAATTGAAGAAGAATTTAAAGAAGAACAAACAGCTCATAGAACAGAAACTAAAGCAGCTGAAAGGAGGTAAAAATGCAGAGATCATACATCAAAATTCTGACCTGGAAGAGGAAGATAGAGTGGACATTGATGATGTGGAAATTTTTTCCAACCCAAACTGCAGTTTTGTGGAAGGAATTGCAAAAGGGTATGCTTCATTCATTAGTTTTATTGTAGTTGAACTATAGTTTTGTATGATATATATTTGGGGAAAACAAATAGATGTCTAAAAATTTACATTGCCTGAATCACAAAAAAAATATATATAATAATAATAATAATAATAATAATAATAATAATAATAATAATAAGAGCAAGTCTTATAGTCTAGATATGTGTAATGAGTTTTAGATGTGAAGTTTTTTGTTTCATCACAGTCGCTATGGTTTTGCAAATATGTTTTTCAAGGGTGAAGAGGCAGTCCTACAGTGATCCAGTGGCGCAGTATGAACAGGTGCCCAGGAGAATGCACCATGAGGAAGAACCAGTATTAAAGCCACTGCTGCCTATCAAAAGCAAACAAGGCCTTGTTGTTAGGATGGGAGTGCAAGAGGAAGATGAAAAGTCAAAAGAGGGTACGAATACAGAAACATTTTGATATATTACTGAATCCTTTTGATATATTAAAAATGCTCTATGTTCTTAAAGCAATTACTCTTGTTGTCTGTACTTGTTTCATTATTTGCAGGTATCATTATGATTGATGAAAAGTGCCAAATTATCACAAGGAATGTTTTTCATATGATGAAATGAACATATTTTGTTGCGGCAGTTATAAACAAGGAACTCTGTGCCTTTAGCAAATAAAAAAAATAATAATATCAACCAGAATTTCTTTTATTTCTTTAGACAGTGTGATAAATGAAGATGCTGCTGAAAAAATACCAGAACCCTGTGAACCACTTCCAGCACTGAGTACAGCACAGTTGTTTGCACAGAGGCAAGAAAAACTGAGAGAAGTAAAGCAGAAGATTGCACTGCTGGCTGGTGCCATCATTGAAAACCCAGAAGAAAATGTGAGAAAATAAATAAGTTTTATCATTTTTTTTTATCTTCATCTCAATGAGCATAATTAGCTACAAGTATCTTTAGGACCGTTTACTTTTAAGTTCTTGATGGAAATTTCATTGGAAAACCATTTGCAGTCACTAATATTCTGACCAGATGGGTGAAAAAATCGCAATTTGTGTTAATAGGTGATTGTGATATAATGATAGGATAGGCAAGCATAATGTAGAAGTCATGAAAAATTGTTCATTTAGTGTTAACCTCAGTGCAATCATGGAGATGTTTTTCAAATTAAATTATTATAATAATGAGTAATCCATATTGTTACAGATGCGAAAACTTAAAGAACTAAGGGTGATGCTGGAGTTTCAAGATCCCCAGTTATTTATAACAGTACGTAAACTGGCCATGCTGTCACTGCTGGAGGTGTTCAAGGATATCATTCCTGGCTACAGAATAAGGCCTCCTACAGATAAAGAAAAAGAGCAGTCAGTAAGTAATTCTTGCATTGTTGTAGTAGAGAACGTTAAATAATGTTTTAAGCAGCTTGATTTTACTTCATTTTGGTGTAAAAAACTTCAGTTTGGTGTAAAATGGATTTGAATACACCTTGTGAGTTATGATATTGTCATTTTTATCAGGTAGCTAGTTGTTGTATACTTGCTTTTGGATATTACGCAGGACAAAGTGCTAGGCCATTTAGCATTGTGTCCAACTACTAAATTTAGCATCTGACATGGTGACATGGTGAAATATCACTTAAATATCCAAGCTAAGTGTTGGACGCTTTGGTTACTTTGATTTGTTGATGAAATACAATTAGATAAAACTAGCCAAGTTCCTAAAACATTTATGTCATTACTGCATTTTTGTTGATATCTGTGTGTAGAATACAAACTGCTGCAAACTATGATGAATTGAATGCATCAGCTGTGCAGCCATCTTTGTCAATCATTTTTTCTTTTTCAAAAACACTGTACTGGGTTATTTTGTATGACATCCAATACATATATAGGAATAATCAATTATATAAGTCTTTCAAGCAGTACCATTCAGGAAGACCATTTTGTTTACAGTTAATTGGAAATAAATAGATAACAAATTGTGCTGAAACAGTTACTTGTATTGATGGTGAAAAATAATAAACCTAGCAAAAATATTGCTAAAGTAATTTTTTAATTAAAAAAATTATTTTGCCGTCTGTCTTGCAGAAACATCTCATTCACTCTGTTCATGTTACTTTCTTTGTTTAATGTCTGTATGTGTACCTTCCATGATGTGTAGTTTTACTATTGGCTTTAAAAGCCCAAATGATAAATGGATTTTGGATATGTGAATAATCGGCAATTATCTCCAGGCCTGCACATCAAAATTTTGCTTCAAAACATGTCTCTTTACAATAGTCTAATGTCCGTTATTTTCTGTAATAAATAAATAAGTTGAAGTTACTATCTTAATGTGATTGGAAATTGTTTTCTTTTATTAAACTGTATGTTTATCCCTCCTTGCAGATGAAACTTGAAACCAAATTCTTTTATTAAACGGTATGTTTATCCCTCCTTGCAGATGAAACTGGAAACCAAAAAAATCAGGGACTTTGAAGAAAGTCTAATTCACAACTACAAGCTTTATCTCCAGTTCTTGGAAAGAATGTCAGCAGGAGTGAATGCCAAACCAACCAAGAAAAAAGCAAAATATATCAAAGAAAGGAATGCCTTTCCACAAGAGGCAGCAAAGGTTTGTTGTTGTTGTTTTTTTTTCACAAGAGACAATGAAGGTTGAATCATGTTAACATGAGTTTGTTAAGATATTCATATGTTGCCCAGGCAGTTATTCCTTTTAACGAATCAATTTAAAATAGTGATCTGTGAGCAAGAGAAATAAATAAAATTATGTACCTCAAACATGGACTATTGGCATCAGTATTCTAAAATAAACTACACAAAGGAAAATGTTTTTTTATGTTTTGCCTCAGTGTAGAACTAGACTTTAAATTTACGTACATATAGATTTTTGAGAATGTGAAGGTGATTAAGAGTATTTATTTTAACAGAAACAAAATACATTGCTTTAGGTGCTACGAGAGCTGTCAGTTCATTGTATGTGTGATTTGCTGGTGACACACCAGAACTTCAACTTTAGAAGCAATCTTGTGACAGTGGTAGTGCCATTCATGAACCACAAGAATGTCAAGGTGAGGCATCAAGGCTGAAAAATGGCAGACTGCCAGTGCAGCATTAAATTTAGCGAACAAAATTTCCCTACAAATATTTTTTTCTCTTAAAGCTACTTAATTTGAGATTGAACAGCAAATTAATATGAATTTTCTTTGGAAATAAAATAATTTTTTCCATTTCTCAAAACCATTGCTTATCCCGTCCCTGCACTTGGATCAGATGTTTTTTTTTTCCATTTTTAATTTATTAATATCATTCTAAATGACTGGCCAGTACTTTAAATTTCCTGTACATTTCAAAAGGAACTATTGCTGTCAGGTACTTTTGTTTGAGGAGTTTTAAAGTTTTCAAGGTTTTTTTTTTTGGAAATTGGGAAAGATNTCCCTTAAAATATTGAATAACTATATATATATATATATATATATATATATATATATATATATATATATATATATATATATATATATATATACCCCCAAAAAAATTTATAATGCTAGTCTGAACCCAGTGCACATAGACTATGTATGAATAAATATTGTAAAATTAATATAAAATATCAGGTGATAATAAAAAATATGCAGAAGAAAGCATAAACATGGGTGGCTATAAGGAGATATAGTCTACACTTAATATGATAATAAAAATATTCAATAACATGCTGCAAACAGTGATGTGGATCAAAATACAACCATGCATTATAATGTCTCTAACACTGGCTAAATAACAACAATGCAACAACACAAAATACTGTAAACGAGTAACTTGTTGAACCACACTGACTGAAACATGTTTTAGTCAAGCAATATTAAAAAATTTATATAATCCCCCTACACTTTTGCTATATGAACCCAGCAACACAATGGCCTATATAATGTGTTAGTTGAACCAATAACACAATGACCTCTATATTATGCTAACTGAGCACAACTAACACAGTCACCATCTACAGTGTGATAGCTGAACACATACACATACACAATTTCCTTTATATAAGAACACAGCCCACTGTATTTATTACCATCATCATCATCATTACCTTGGCCCATGTACTGCATCCCATGCATTGGTTGCATGCCCTGGGGTGGGGGCATCTGGTTGGGATACCTCTGCTGCTGCTGAGGATAACCAGGAGGATAACCTACACAGACATGCAATTAGTTTAATTTCAGTATTCAAAACCCAAATGAAAAGTAATAAATGCGGCAAAAATTTCTGACGCCAGCAAAATTGTTGTTCTACTTTTCTAAGGTTTGACAAATTGTGACTTTCATGGCTTTCTAAATCTCTTTTGAAAAAAAGAAAATACATAATTATAATATCAATGCAGGTCATATTTTCATTATTTCAAAAGTGTGTAAATTAGGTTTTGGAAATGTTAGTTCATGTTTGTTGCAAGGAAGATGAGGAAATTCTATAGCATTTCATTCAGCAATGTGGTGCTTCAAAACCTGTGACTGGTACTTGAGTGTTGCAGTGCAATCTTTCACAGAACGCTCACCTTGCATGTGTTGCTGGGGATACATCCCTGGGGTCATCTGGCCATGTCCAGCCACCCCCGGGGACCCTGTCCTGTACCCTGGGACTGGAGACTGAGCTGCCTGGGCCTCGGCCTCTGCCGCCCTTTTAGCATCGTTGATCTCTGCCTGTTTCTTGGCCTTTTCCTCATAGCGCCTCTTTTCTTCATCTGGAAGACTCTTCCACTAAATAAATAAAGATTACAGCATAAGTCACAAATTGTATATAAGTAAAAATCATGGCAGCTGAAGCAAATGTAAAGAAAGAAGTGTCTTAAAGCTAACCACAAGAACTCTGTGGAGCTATAAAACCCCAATCAAGTGCATTAAAAACCTCGTACAAAATCACAAAATCTCTGTCTCTCAGACTGTCATTTATTTTTATCACAACTGACTTTAAATCTAGTGCGATTACAGATAAACTATTCAGTACTCAGCCCTTACATTGTTCCCAACCACTTTACTGAGCTCTCCAAATGAGTAGTCAGGATGCTGGTCCTTGAGTTTCTTCCTCACTTCAGCTGCGTATATGATATATCCTGTGGGCTTACGGTTCCTCTTTTGCTAAAATTCCGAAAAATGGTTAAATACTTAGTAACAGGTATTCAGACAGCTCTTTACAAGAAGTATTCTTACACTAGGATACATATTGCTTGAACCATCATCTGCAAATTTCGACACAGACAACAAGAAAAAACAATAAAAAATTTTATATATAATTGCATCCTTACAGTCACTTTTAACTAAATCAATGAGTAATTTTTAAATTTATTTAGATTACAGATCTCAAGTTGAAGAAGAAAATATCATCAGACATCTAGAAATTCTATCTACTGTCCTACTAACCACCTTCTTAGCTGGCTTTCCCTCAACAGATGCTGAAGATGGCGTAGCAGGCCTTGCATGTAATTCATCAAAACTGGTGTTATAACTGAAGCTGTGCTCCATCATGCTGTCTTCATCCATGTTACTAGGTGGCGCCTCTGTCATCTCAGATGCCATGTCGTCTGCTGGCTCATCAACTGCAGCCAGAAGATGAGGTGATGGCACCTTGACATTAAAATAAATGGGACAAAAATGAATTCTTGGCCAAATTTTTGATGCAATGTAACATTTTGGAACAGTAATAAAAAAACAAAGGTTTCACCTGAAAACAATGTATTATACTAAATTTTGAGTAAAGTGGAATAGAAGATAATTATTCACTGTACATATGAGTACCTGAAATATGTTCACTTATGATATATAAAAACAAGAATTGTGTACATATCAGTAGACATCTTTAAGGGCAATATCTTCCCCTTTATATAGCCTTCTTTCTATCAAAAATATATTTACCTTCTTAGGTGTGATGGACTTTCTAAAGAAGTAGATTTCATCATCTGTGACTTTAGGTGACAAAGTAATTTTCTGGAAAAAAGTTTTTTTAATCAGTTTTATCTGTGAAAACAAGTTTTTCAAAATATTTTGTAAAATAATCTTAAATCTGAAGATCTCAATTACTCAATGAACATTAGAAAACACCATGCAGGACAGTCACTCAAAATAAATACAACAATTAAAAAAACAAAATGACTTGATATCATTGTTTTGGCTTTATATAGAACGATTTGACACTGGGCTTACCTTGGAGCTTTTGGACATTTTCCTAATAGTTTTTTCTGCCTCCACATATTTGGACTCACAGACATACACATCTTTCTCTGGGTATTCTGTGGGTCGGCCTATAATAGAAAAACAAAAAATACATACATATGCTATCAATTACAGACTTGATACAGACTTGGTACTGGAGATACTTGTCACTCAACAAACTATCTTTTCATTTGAATCAATAATTTTAATTTGAGCTGTAATAGCTGTAGGATTTACATCACTATTGATGACAAATTCAAGCATTTTCACACTAAAAAATTCTTGTTTCTTTATTCAAATTTTCATTTTATGCTGACAAAAGGAAAATTATGTAACGCATGTGAAAAATACTTCCCTTTCACAAAAAATATCTCTTGATAATTGTTAGAAACATAAAATTGTTTATAAGTCACTAACTTACTTGTACAAAACTCCTTGTAGAAAAGCACAGCACACTTCCCCACTATATTAGCCAGTGAGTATGTAATGGGCTCCGTGTCACTGTGGAAAACCTCTCTTCTGAAGAACAGTCTGGTAGGTGGATGCTCCACTTCTAGAGGATACAAATACTTTGGGCCCTGAATGTACACTGCACCCCTGAAATAATTGAAAGAGATGATATTTAACAGTGATATTTTATTTTAAAGTAACAGTAAAAACTCATCCAATACTAGTTAAATGCATCTATCTGTTAGAAGCTGCTTATTTCTAAATGGGACACAAATACTTTTTATGTTCACTGTACAAAAAGAGGTAGTGATAATTTTCAATAGTACTACTTTTATTTTCTGCTCAAATTTACCCAATTGAATTATAATTAACTGAAAAAGATAACAAAGGTGACAAATAAACAGACATGAAACAAAAGAAAGATTTGAAATAATTTTGATTGTGTAAACTTGTACATTTGAGAATGATGTTTCAACGATTGTAAAAATATGCTTATTTATGACCCTTGTTAAACATAAATATAACTCCTAGCACACCCCCTACCTCTGGTCTGCCCACATCTTGTCTATCTTGACAATGATAGGCATTTCCCTCTCCGTTTTCACATAGACATGATCATCTGAAAATTGAACAAGATCAATAATATCTTAAGGAAAACAAACATTTTACTTGCAATAACTGACCAAAAAATAATGACTCAGATGAAATAATGACCAGAAAATAGTTGCATAGTTGTCAAATGAGAAAAAAATGTTATTTAGAAAATCATACATAACCAAAACATATTTTGGCAGAATATATTCATCTAAACAGCTCACAAAAATGTGCCACTTCGGAGGTGACATGCAGACCAATGCTGGTCAAGATGTACATCAAACAGTCTGAAAGTTTAACCTGAAAAATACCTGCTGCAAACCAGCAGATTTACTGTCAAGCAATAAGAATCACTTGATAATTGCCAGTCCTGAAGTTGCTTTTTTTTTCTTTTTTTTTTTTAAAGTCAGTCTGTGACTGAAATCCAAGCAGTTTCCCCGTCTGCAGTTCTATATCTTACCTAGTTTGAAGCAGCCATTAGGAGCTATGAACTGCTCATAGTATGTTATTCCTTCCTCAGGAGTGGCTACTTCCTGAATGACAACCTAAAGTAAATATCAAATGTAAAGCATTTAATATGTTTGTTCAAAGAAAAAATAATGACTTTACTATTAAGGCAGTTCTTGGTCTAATGTAATAATGTCATATTCATAAAATTGTTTTTATTGAGAGCATTTGACAGAACAACTTTTTATACATGATATATGATGTAAACCACCATCACAAGCTTTTATGTGCCATAATGCTAATATTCATTTAAGTTTCATAAAATATGTAAAGTTTTTGCAGTTTCTAAATTATTTAATCATTGTGAGAAGTACTAAAGAAAAACAATCCTTACACTTCTCCGCTTGTCTAGCAAAAACGGCTGTCCATCATCTCCAATGTCTTCCTTGCCTCCCACCATTTTCTCTGCAAACACAGAGGCCACGCGTACTGTGGTTAGCATCTGTTCTCGTGGGACAATTTTCACGCTCTCGTTTCGAGGCACCTGCCAGATCTTGATCTTTTTGAATGCTTTGTGTTTTGCAGAGTACCTTGATTCACAGACGTAAACATCCTTGTCTGGGAAACCCTGTTAATATGACAGTATTAAATGTGTTCAAAAAAGTCAAATGTTCTCAAGAGACTTAACATGTTGCAGGAATGATACAGGTGGAATGATTTAATTTTTTACCATCATTACACAAGAGACAATAAAAATATTTTCATCAAATTATTAAACATGAATGAACTCAAACAGGTCAGAGTTGTTATCTTTGTACTACAGGAAATATCTTTCTACTGTCAAAAGAGGATCTATCAACAAGTCACTGTTTTGTCACTTTATATTTCTTTTTTTTTTTTTTAATTACAATTTCAGAGCTTTGACATCCCAATTTCAGAGCTTTTGCACTAATTATGTTTTTATGTTTTCAAACACGAATACTTCTTTGACTTAGTTAGTGATGATAAAAATAAATGCAGATGTTTTTTCAAACCCAATTACTACTTACCTCTGGTTTCATTTTAAAGTAGTCTTTGACAAACATGACAAAGCACTTGCCCAGCACTATGTTTAGAGGAACTCTGTCTGAGAAATCACTTCTGAACACCTCCTGGGAATGAGAAAGCAGATCGGTGTTATGCACTGGACTATTTGCTTTTCAGTTTTGTAGTCAGTTAATTAAATGATTGCTTAAGGCTTATTTTCTCATAATCATATCAACAGTTCACATCTAAATTGTGAAAAATAGAAAAAAAAGGAAATGCTGGATTAAAATAACTTAAAGATAACTGTAGAACACACACACACAGAGAGAGAGAGAGAGAGAGAGAGAGAGAGAGAGAGAGAGAGAGAGAGAGAGAGAGAGAGAGAGAGAGAGAGAGAGAGAGAGATAAACATCCTCCTATTGATATGGGTGTTGGGTACGTACCTTTTCAAGAAACTTTCTGGTGGCCAGATGATATGTTTCATTTGGTCGACAAAACCAGCAGCCATAGAGGAAGTTTTCTCCAGTGGGCTCAGTAGACAGGCGCTCTATGCACACAATGTGAGGTTCTAATCCTTTCTCCCTAGAAAGAACACCATTAAACCCCATGTACATGTGCACCACATACACGATCTTGAAGAGTCTTATTTGATATATGTTTATACTGTATAGGTATACTGTATAGGTTCATTATCATTAGCAATGTTTTAAGTACTATAACAAGTCAACAGCTACTGTTAATGCAAAACTGATCTTGTAAATCTTCCCACCCTTACACCAATTGAAAGTTTTCTATTGATACAGAGTCTGAACATTGAATGCCATTTAATCTCCTCTTAGTACAATTTGTGATATAATTCTTACACTTTTTTTTTATAATTCTTAAAACTTAAAGAGGGGCAGGGATAAAAATGGTAATGTGTATCTTACCTTGGTTCAATGTACACAAAGTCTCCCACTGAATAAGTCTGACCACCATAACTCACACTGTTCTCACCAATGTCTTCTTGCTGTAATATTGCATATAACATTTGCAATAATTATTATTCTAAATTTCTTAGGAACAAAGTAAATAATGAAAGAGAATGACTACTGTAGTAAATGGATATTGATTGACTGGACTTAAACATTTGCTATATATTTCAACTTAAAGGGATAATAACTCTTCGTTTTGGCCAAAAAAATGAATTTTCCTGGAGTAAACAACAATTTTTCCATACTTACCAATGGTTAATGAATCCATTTTTACATTCAAAGTTAGTCCCTGGTTTTTTTCTAAAAAGTTTGGTTTTTTGTTTAAATCTCTTAAGAGATTTTCACAGAGTATAGCCATCAATGGAGGTCACATGGTCTAAAGACAAGCTCAGATATCAGAATAATTGCTATAACTGCCGTTTTTGTGGTAAAACAGAATATATTGTATTTCTATGAGTTATTCACAATGTTTTTATTGTGAAATATAGATCTCATACAAAGAGTTATTATCCCTTTAATGTCATGTCATATAAGAAACTATGAAAATTATACAAGAATCACAATAAATAGCCAAATATCTTTAAAAGCATACTTCTTTTTCTTGTTCTTTTTTGTTTGTTTCTTCTGCCTGTTTCTTTTCTTCATCTTCACGCATCTCTTTTGGCAGCTTCTCCTGTTTCTCCTCATCCAGCGCACTCTGCAGGTGTTTCTCGGTGTAACTGAGTGCAGGCGTTAACAAGAGCTCCCCGTTCTTGCAGAGCTCGTCACGAATCTTGATGAAAAACATCTGCATTTCAACAGCGTCTTCGTAAAGCTGGGAGTCTGTGCGACTAACCTTGCGTGCGTATGAAAACACTTCAAACATGTCTTCCTGAAATCTGTCCAGTCTGCGATATCTTCCCTGAAAAAATGGAATTGGATGCATTAATATATGCTGCTATCTCATCAAACTGCAAATTTCTCCTTGAATTTTTAAAACTTTCTGAAAAGGCTTTAAATTATAAGGAAAGTGTTCATAATTTTTATGATTTCTTACATTACATGCACAGCCACAGTTTTCAAAAGAGGAAATGATACATACCCTGTCTAAATTTCTTTTGATTTGGTCAAATGTAAGAGGTTTTCTGGAATCAAAAAGTTAACATGATAGTTAAAGGGATAATAACTCTTCGTTTCGGTCAAAAAAATAATTTTCCTGGAGTAAACAACAATTTTCCCATACTTACCAATAGTTAATGAATCCATTTTTACATTCAAAGTTAGTCCCTGGTTTTTTTCTAAAAAGTTTGGTTTTTTGTTAAAATCTCTTAAGAGATTTTAACAGAGTATAGCCATCAATGGAGGTCACGTGGTCTAAAGACAAGCTCAGATATCAGAATAATAGCTGTTACTGCCGTTTTTGTGGTAAAACAGAATATATTATATTTCTATGAGTTGTTCACAACGTTTTTATTGTGAAATATAGATCTCATACGAAGAGTTATTATCCCTTTAAGTATAAAACCCAACCAATACTTGAAAATGCATCACATTAAAGAATGTAAATATTTCTAACTGCACCACCAAAGTGCACTCATCTCATTCATTAAAAGAATTTAAGCACTTGGAATACTATGTTACTTGGCATTTTAAAAATACCATGCTCCATGAACCAACAATAAAAGCAGTTGAATGCCTCCTTTCCTCCCCCACTTAGAGAGAGAGAGAGAGAGAGAGAGAGAGAGAGAGAGAGAGAATGTCTAGCATCATTTAAGACTTACACAGTCACAACTGGTTGCTCTCCCTCCTGTTCTGCAACCTCTTTTGAGGGCAACTCAGCAAAGGAGTCACTATAGCAACGACCTTCTTCATCCTGAAACGAACAAAATTTGGAACCTTGCTCACATCATTTTCTAACTTGATTTTCCCATTTTTAATCAATAGCAAAAATAATCAAGAATTGTTATCATAAATCCAGTGCTATAAAATATTTACACGAGATTGTCGACTGTTATGCAGCTCCATACAAACCTGGTAGTTGTAGACAGAAATGAAGAGATTAGTCATCATTTCCAGCACCACAGCTTTCACATCTGGGACCTCGTTATCATCTTCCTCATCTTGCAGCTCTCCTTTCTTCTCCAGACACACTCTCTGCAGTGTGAGGGCATCCTGGACAGGGAAAGACACATAGACAATATTAAAAACTACTTGACCTGTAGATAATTACACTTACAACTTAATGAATTCTCTATCCAGGTGAGATGAAACATCCCTTAAATTTATAATCAACTCTTAAACTTCAAAATTAAAAACTGTCATCATTTTTCTCATCATTACTACCTCTGCCAAGGAGATTATGTTTTCACCTCTGTTTGTCTGTTATTTTGATGTGTGTTTGTCACAAGTTTAGCTCAAAAATTTTAGGATGGATTTTGATAAAAATTTTCAGGATAGGTCAGAAATGTGCCAACTTGAAATTGTTTAGGTTAATTAATTTATTAGTTAACTATTTGTCGTAGAAGAGGTCTGTGCTCTCTGAGTGTTTTTCTAGTTACTATCATTATCAATATTATAAAAAATATGATAAACAGCCACTCAATCCACCCGTCTCTGTCATTTCCTCCTCACCTACCTTGTATATGAGAGAGTCTGGCTCATTAAACTTGCAAGCATTGTCAAACATGAGGACAAAGTCAGAGACCAGGTCTTCCAGGCTCTCGTACTTGTTGTTTGTCATCTTGCCAAAGATGTGCTGCATATCTATAGGCTTCTTGATTACTTCGTAGTAGTTAGGATATTCCTATGAAAAAATGTGACATATGTTTATAGTGCTCATCAATATGTTTCATCATCTCATAAAATATAATCAAATTATGATATTTTTGTTTCATACATTCTCTTTAGAAATGATCAGCATTTTAATCAACATTATGAAAGAGACAACAGAAAAGCTACTGCTGAATCACCAAATAGTAAGATGGTTCTGCTGAAATATTGCACTCAATGTTAGAAAATGCCACTCACCAATCTGGAAGGCAACTTCATAAAGGGAGGACACAGTACTCTGCCTCTGGAGTCTGTGAAGTTGGCTATGATGTCATAGACTTGCTGTAGCTTCTGAGCCAGTGGAGACAAACTCTTGGATTTAGGACGACTGACAAACAAAATCAACAAACATATTAATTTATCACGTAATATATTAGTCTAAGAATAGATAAGCTATTTTTCCACACATTTTTAAACATCTATATCATCTATTTCTTTGAACATGATTTTTTTTTATTACAATGCATGTATTCATCACGAATATAGAAATTCAATATGATGACCACAGAACAACACACTATTGTCAGTAAAAGCCATCAATTTCACCTTCTTTGTGAGAAGAGGGTGGCATTGGGTAAAACAATTATATATCAGAGAAAATAATTATTTTTCAGTCTCTGTATATAAGAACAAAATCTAGTGCAATAGGATTTTCACTGTCTCTTGTACAATGAAGTTAAAAAGTAGATCGTTTCTAGGAGACTATATGTGTTTTCTAGGAGGCCTTTTGACAGGGCTTGAAACATCTTGCCTCTTTGGTAGAAAACCCATTAGTCTCATTAGAAACCATTATATTCCTTCACAATTCAAGCAAAAAGGTATCAACAAATATAGACTAACTTCTTCTGTCCTTGTTTAGAGGGTGGTGACAGTGGTGTGAGGTTTCTTATCTTCTGTTTCAGCACTCTTTCTAGCGTCTGTGAATCTTGGTAGACCAGAGAAGACTCCTCATTGTAATGTCTGGCATTACTGAACATCAGCTTGAGGTCTGCTATCAGGGCTTGCTCTGTAGTATACTGAAACAGTGAATGAATTCATTCAGTACAGCAAAATTATTGTTAGGTAATAACATCATACAACTTAAACAATACTTGCAAAAATAATTTCAGCATATTTTCAGAAGTAAAAAATTGTTAAAAACTTTAACAGCATGGAATACACTTGTAAAAATTAATCATTTGGAAAAGCTAAAACATTCATAGTAACCTATTTATAAGGAAGCCCTTTTAAAATTTCTTTCAGTGCCAAAAAGTTTCACGCAGAAAAAATAATACAGAACTTAAAAACTGTAACGGACATATAACAGAAATGTGTATAACTACCTTTTCTTCCATTATCTTAGTCTTGATGGTATTCATGTCAATGGGTTCTGAGATGACTTGATAATAATCAGGGTATTCCTTCTTTGAAGGTAGCTCAATGAAGATATCTATCAGCGAGCGGTTTTCTTCCTGAACAAGAAAATCAAAAATTATAAAAAATTATATGTTTATCAGAAAGTATGAGTTAGTTGGTTTCAGAAGGTAATGTGATCATAATAATACAGTAATTCAAAATTTTCATGAAAAGCAAAGCAGAAAACAAAAGAAAAAAAATTTTCCAACCATTTCCCTTACCCTACTCCAACACAAGTCAATATCTTACAAAAATAATAACTTTTTCCACCACCTAGCAGGTTTAAAAGGAGAGCTACTAATAAACATTCTGCTTATAAACATTTCAATTCAAATACCAGACATGAGCCTAGGTTTCAAAAAAAATCTCTGAATATTTATTGAATCTCAGACAAGACAAATCTCAGGAACCATCAGAACTGAATTAAAAAACGCTTTTCCGCAGAAAAAGCTCATATCTGAAATACAGCATTACCAAAGCAGCTCCAACTGTTACAGAACATTAACACACAAGCAGCTAGTGAAGTAACACAAAACAGACCAGTTCCCACACCTGGAAGTTAAATACTGTATCATAGAGAACATTGATCCGTTTCTTCAAAGCCTCTTCGTAGGGCAGGGGTTTGCGGCCTGGTTTCTTCCTCTCTTTTTCAGGCTTTGGAGTTACAGTTACAGTGGCTGACTGCTCTTCTTCATCTTCTGAACCATGGACTTCCTTCTGGTGAAATGAAAGGGAAAAAAAACACTTCTACAATGATAACCATGATAATATTTTTTTACAATTAGTCACAAAAAATAAATCTCAAATCCTAGACCTTTTAAAATTAGTTTGCTTTTCTTCCTTGAGAAGTCTGTATTGCTCAAAGATGACAGGGAAAGGATTTCCCACTTACAAATAAGTCAAAAGGCAGGTTCACATCAGGACTAACTTAGACCTGGGGCTCATTTCACAAAAGAACTTTAGCCCC